CACTTGACTCTTTTAACGCTTGACAGCTCACTTGATGCAAGCCAGTTTCATTTTCCTGTCTAAAAATTCATGCATGCTTGGTAATATGTAGTATGTTAAGTATGTTAGAGATATATTAACTAAATATAATGACTGAAGATTTATTTATTGATTTTCATTAATAATTAAACCATACAAATTGCTGAAAGGTTCCCTTTATATAAAATGTTTCCCTATTTCTTGGTATTTTGAGTTACTCCTGTAGTGGAACAGCCATGAACAAAGCTGGAATGAACATCCTTGTGTTAATTTTTAGATGGATACGTCTCCTCCGTGCTTAGCAATGATTTTGGAGTTTAAATTTTTTGTGAAATGATGAATATAGAACATTACTAAACTTAGAAGATACCATATTTTCCAACTCGAATTTTGTACTTTCTGTTTTACTGAGTCTATTGGCATGCCTATTGTTCCCTCATCCTAAGTTTTGCTTCTATGATTTTCAATTTCAGGCACCATGATATTATGTGCTTATTTTCAATTACATATGCCTAGTAATTTAGTTAATTTTAATACATTTATTTTTTCCCCTCCAAAATGCCTATTTAATCCAATTTTCCCCATTACATTTAATATTATTTCAAGACATTCTTATATGTTTTAAACAAAAATTGTTCTTTGTTGAGAAGTAGAGGTAGGGATCATGACTATTTATTCCCATTATACACCTTCTACATTCAGTTTTATTAGCAAACTTCTAAATTTGGTAAGATAAAATAGATTACTCTTATAGCTATTGCATCTTCTGTCATAAGAAAATATTATTATACAGTGCATGGTAAAATATATTTTTCTATGTTGAGTCTAACAAAGTTAGATTTTTTTAAAAAAACTTTATTTTAATTTTGGTAAGTGATATCTATCCAGAAAAATCATTGATTTCCTTTAAATTTTCCAATTTTGTGGAGTATGGGTTTTCATAGTATGACCTTATGATTCTCTGGATTCCCCAGTATCTGTTGTTTTGTCCCCCTTTTCATTTCTGATTTTGTTAATTTGCATGTTCTCTCTCTGCCTTTTGGTTAGGTTAGATAAAGGTTTGTTTATCTGGTTGTTTTTCTCAAAGAACCAACTCTTTGTTTCATTGATTCTTTGCATTGTTTTCTTTGTTTCTACTTTATTGATTTTACCTCTCAATTTGATTATTTCCTGGCATGAACTTCTCCTGGGTGAAGAGAACTTCTCCTTGCTTCTTTTTATTCTAGAGCTTTTAGGTGTTCTGTTAATTCTCTAGTGTGGCTATTGTCCAGTTTCTTCATGTGGGCACTTAGTGCTATGAACTTTCCTCTTAGCACTGCTTTCAAAGTGTCCCATAGCTTTGGGTATGTTGTACCTTCATTTTCATTGAATTCTTGGAAGTCTTTGATTTTTTTCATTATTTCTCCCTTCACCCAGGAATGATGCAATTGAGCATTGTTCAATTACCATGAGTTTGTGGGATTTCTGCAATTTGTGTTGTTGTTGAATTCTAACTTTAAAGCATGGTGGTCTGATAACATACAGGGGATTATTCCAATTCTTTTGTAGCTGTTGGGTTTGCTTTATTACCCAGGTTGTGGTCGATTTTGGAGAAGGTTCCATGTGGTGCTGAGAAGAAGGTATATTCTTTTGTGTTTGGATGGAATGTTTTTTTTTTTTTTTTTTTTTTCTGAGACAGGGTTTCTCTGTGTAGCTTTGGAGCCTATCCTGGCATTGGCTCTTGAAACCAGTCTGGCCTCGAACTCACAGAGATCCGTTGGAATGTTCTATAGATGTCCGTTAAACCCAAATGGGTCATAACTTCTGTTAGTTCTTTTGTTTCTTTGTTAAGTTTCTGTCTGGTAGTCCTGTCCAGTTGTGAGAGTGGGGGGTTGATGTTTCAGAGCAAAATAAAAGATGTCATAATAGAGGGAGCCATTATAGGTTTAAAGAGAAATCTGGTACTAGGGAGATTTACAGAGATCTTCAAGGATAACACCAACTGGCAACCTAAGCAATAGTGGAGACTATGGAAATCCCTTCCTCAATAATGAGATTGATAACTAACTTATATACCATCCTAGAGCCTTCATCCAGTAGCTGATGGAAGCAGATGCAATACCCACAGCTAAACACTGAACTGAACTCCTGGAACCTAGTTGCAGAGAGGGAAGAGTGATGAGAAATGGGGTCAAGACCTGGCTGGTGAAACCCACAGACACAGATGGGCTGAACAAGGGGGAGCTCAGGGACCCCAGACTGATGGCTGAGAGGCCAGCATGGTACTAATCCAAACCTCTAACTGTGGGTGTCAGTGAGGAGGCCTTGGCAATCCATAGGGCCTCTGGTAGTAGACCAGTATCTATCACTGGCATACAATGGACTTTGGGAGCCCATTCCACATGGAAGGATGCTCTCTCAGTCTGGCACATGGGGGAGGGCCTAGGCCCTGCCTGGGATAATATGACAGACTTTGGAGTTCCCCCAGGGAAGGCCTGGGGAGCACAGGGGGCATGGGTTGGGGACTTGGGAGTTGGAGTGGGGGAGATGGGAGGGAGAAGGATCTGGGATTGACATGTGAAGGAAGCTTGCTACTAATTTAAAAATTAATAAAAAGTGGAGAATAAATCTTTATTTTTGTTATTTTTAAAGACTATTTTTCCCTTAAAAATATTGATATATGTTAGATGCGTAAGTCATAAGTTTGGAAGAATAGTATGTTTTACATGAGATTTACTCTTTTAAATATGATAAATTAGTTTAGCAATGATATACGTTTACTAAATTAGTACATTATTTTTGTTTGCTTGTTGTTTTCGAGAAAGGGCTTTTCTGTGTAACAGTTCTGGCTGTCCTGGAACTCTCTTTGTAGACCAGCCTGGATTTCAATTCACTGAGATCTGCCTGCCTCTGCCTTCCAAGTGCTGTGATTGAAGGTGTGTGCCACTTCTACCCTGCTAATTTCTTTACAAAAATCAAGTTACATGTAACTCTGTATTTCTTCTTGATTTTTCTAGTCTCCTTGTTCATTGTGCAGGTGTCACTTTTTCTTCAGTTTTTATTCTTATAACCTTGAAATCTTTGATACTCTGAAATATTAATAGTAAATTTAGAATACATCTATGGTTATTACCACATAAATTTCAATTTTGAGGTGTTGGTTGGAACTGTTCTAAATTTATTAACAATCTAGGAAGCATTTCCAACTTAATATAGTTTGGTCCACAAATTATGGCTACACCCCCCACATAGTTCTTATGTTCTGTCTCATAGTACATAATTTTTAGTGCTTATTGCTAAAGAGTTTATGTTTTGGCTTTTATGAATGTTGAAATTTTTAAATATAATTTTAATTGTTGTTGTTTAATATAGAGTACAAATACTTATACATTACTAATTTATATGTTAAATGATTGGCTAAAAATTTTGTTTGTTATTTTCAGTCCTTTGCCTAAGTTGGTTTTATTTTTATTATGGGAAATGAGATCATGATATCTGGAAAATTTGAATGATACCTATTTTTTCTTATATTACATTTTGATATCATGGTCAAAAAGAAAAAAACAAGCAAATGGGCAAGAAACAAATGGAAATAGCTTATAAAATTATGCAAATGCATGCTTTTCATTAAGGCAGAATGTGGACGAGAACAGGGTGTTCTCAAAGACAGAGCATCCTTCTGTATTCCAGCTTGTACTTAAGATCCTTCAACTCACAGTCCTGATAATTGTCCTCATTTCTTTCTTCCCCTTCATCATCTGTACCTTTTTCTCCTACCCTCCTCCTTATCTTCTTCCTATCCTCCCCTTCTAATTCCTCATCCCCTCATCCTCATTTACCTTCAGCTACAAATTTTCTATTAAAGGTTTATTGCTTATTCTTCTTTTTCAGTACTGTGGAAGGAGCCAAGAGTCTTGTGGATGGTTGGCAAATATTTTAACATTGAGTTCTATCCGTGGCTCAAATTTATTAATAATTTATTTAATATTCATGCATGCATATAATTTGCTTGGATCCAGTCCAACCTGTATCTCCCCTCCAATTCTTACCATATACCATAATTTTTCTTCGATTTTCATCTTCTCTCTCTTTTTTCTCTTACTCATTTTTAAATTTAATGCTCATTGAAATCATTTAGTGTTGCCTGTGTGTGTAGATTTTATTCTGTGACATATTCTCACTAAATTGCTCAGCCTGACTTCAACTCACTATGGAGCCCAGGAGACCTTGAAAGTGGCACCCTCTTGCCTCACTGTCATGAAGAGCTGAGATTACATCCTTATGCCACCAGGATTGTTGTCTTTTTTTTTCTTGGTGTGTTAAGCATGAAGAAACTCAAAAACGTATATTGACAGAATTGATAAAATTCATATTCTTGGTTTTTTCTAAATCCTATAAAATGTATTTCAGTATTTCAGCATTTAGTACAATACTACCTTAGATTTTATTCATGTCCAGATTGAATCAAAAGTTTTCAAAATGATCAAAAATGGAAAACAAATTTTTTGATGGTCCTGGAGCTGAATACAACCTAGGCAAGCAATCCTGCACAGAGTTAACCTTGACATAGATGTTTAATTTAGCTTCATACTATTCTTCCACTACAATAACCATTACATTTTGCATTAATTCTTTATGTCATAAATACCAAAATTTAAACTATCAAATCAGAAAAACACTGATTCATCATTATTTCACTAAAATGCAGGTGTGAGAACAGCCTTTTTTTTAGCAAATAAATAAATAGGCCACACCTAAAGATCAGGGACTCTGAATGATAGAGTTGTAATCTCCTCCCATTCTAATTGCCCCTCGTTTTGTCTAGCCATTTGGGGGTTTCTCTTAAATATGCTGAACCCCAGGTAATTTGAAAGTGTTAGAAAGGAATTAACTATTAAAAGTTTATTTGATATGTCATCATATGTACTAATCATGTATTTTCTTATTTGTTCCCAGAAATACTGAAGAAAGATTGTAGATTATCTCCCAAGAGTCCCAGAAGGATGTCCTCTATCAATAAGACTCTTTCACACCCCTCTGCCTTCCTTCTGCTGGGCATTCCTGGGCTGGAAGCTTTCCATATCTGGATAGCCTTCCCCTTCTTTGTTGTTTACCTGATAGCACTTGTAGGGAATTTCACAATCCTCTGTGTGATCAAGAGTGAGCAGAGCCTTCATCAGCCCATGTTCTACTTCCTTGCACTCCTCTCTTGCATCGATCTTGGCCTCTCCACCTCTACCATTCCCAAGATGCTGAGTATCTTCTGGTTCAACCTTACAGAGATAAGCTTTGAAGGTTGCCTCACCCAAATGTTCTTCATCCATACCTACACAGGCATGGAATCTGTTGTACTCCTGGCAATGGCTATTGACCGTTTTGTTGCCATCTGTTACCCACTTAGATATTCCTCTATTCTCACCAATAAGGTGGTAGTTATCATGGCTTCTGTTGTAGCAGGGAGGCCTGTCCTTCTTGTCATTCCTTTCTGCCCACTCCTTAAGCGACTGCCCTTTTGTGGACATTATATTATTCCTCATACCTACTGTGAACACATGGGGATAGCTCGTCTAGCCTGTGCCAGTATAAGGATAAACATCATCTATGGCTTATTTACCATTGCTGCTCTGATCTTTGATCTAATTCTCATTGGTCTCTCTTATATTTGGATCCTAAAGGCTGTTTTTCGCCTTCCTTCTAGGGATGCCAGACACAAAGCTCTTAGTACATGTGGTTCCCATGTCTGTGTCATCTTGGCCTTTTATACACCAGCATTTTTCTCTTTTATGACCCATAGATTTGGTAGAAATATTCCTCATTACATTCACATCCTCTTGGCCAATCTCTATGTGGTTGTCCCTCCTAGTTTAAATCCAGTTATTTATGGAGTGAGGACGAAACAAATTAGGGAGGGTGTCATGAAAATATTTGCAAAGAAGGAGTAACTCGAATATCAGAGGTTCATGTACACTGTCAGGCTGCTTCTCAGCTTGTATCTTTCTCAGTGTTTTTCAATTGACAACTTGATCAAGGGCTATTCATACACTTCAGTCATAAACATGGAGTCTTCACTCAATGTTTCTCTTACAAAATGTCTTCTACTTTGACTTTAAAATTTATTGCCCTTTTTGAATGAGAGTTAGAGAATATAAAGGAATGAAGTCCAAGTACATGGTATAAAAGATTCAAAGGTTCTTAAATACATGTAAAATTGTATTTACTACACTTGTTAAGTTTTATAAAAGAAAAATTCTGATGGCACACATATCTTAAGAATTTGATTAATTATTTAATATTTTTTAGCAAAACGCTTTAATTATCTACTTCTCTTCCAGGAATTTCTATTATTTATATGATTCCACTTAATTTCATATAGTTATTGCAGCCTTCATGATACTTAACCTTCATATCTACCTGAGTCACCTTTGTTATCTGCTATAGGTGTTGGTATAGTAACAAAAATAGAAAAGCATTTTATAGCAAAATTAAACAAGACAACAAAGCACTTCATAAACTTCAAAGAATTTAAAAACTTTGACAAAGTTGACAAATTTTGAAGTTAATATGACCTAAGTAGCATTTATCTCACAAATGCAAAGGAATATCCGTGAATTTTAAATCCAATGGATGTATATTGCCGTGTGACCAAAAAGATTGTTGGAAAATCATTACGTTCACTCTGATTACAAATTCCTCATAAACGTTTCAGAGAACACAGAAGAAATGGGAAAATTACCTCAACTGGATGAGAGGTAACTCAGAATCTGAAGCTTTCTTCACATTTCTCATGGGTCCCGACTTGTGGAATTAGCATCCTAATTTATTTTCAGAACATTTTATGGATTATGAAATATTTCTTCATATTCTACTCTTTCTGTTTCAATCCTAACTTCACTGTAATGCCAGGAATGCTTTGCAAAAATATTGTTTATATCCTTTCTTATAAAATCCAATCTAATTCTTTCATTGAAGATTTCATGCTTGCGTAGTATTTCTTAGTCAGGGTATTCTAGCATGTCGATCATGTGGACAGAGATATCTGAATGCTACAAGGATAGTCTTGTGGTCCTACATACTCAGGAGGCTGAGGCAGAGAGAATCACAATTTCAAGTCTTCCCTGTATTCTATTGTGATTTCAGGCCAGAAGCTTGGGCTTTGAAGACCATGACTCACAATTATATATATAAAATTATGAGTCATATATAGGTAACTATCGCTTAAGCTGTAGCTTAATGGTAGAGTAAATGTGCAATGTTTGCTTTGTTAGAAGAGATTTATTTATTTACATTCTTTATATTGATGTTCTGCTTGCATGCATGTATATGTAACATGTATGCCTGTTGGATACCCTAGAACTGGGGTTATGGATGGTTTTGAGCCACCTTATGGGTACTGAGTCCAGATCTTCTGCAAGAACAACTGGTAGTCTTAGTCACTGAGATATCTCTCCAGCCCCTACAACTTAAAATTCACCCATCAGAGACCTTTCTGACAGCCTTTCCCACAATTAATAGCTAATTAAGACTGTATAGATCTGTTGTTAATGGGCCAACTGTTTAAAAGTTATTTTTATTTATTGTATATACAATTAATAATGTTTTAATGAGCTTGTGCATTGATGAATTATTTCCATTTCACTCTAAACTGCTTCTCCTAATGCATCTAGAGTGGCACTATATATTATCATTCAATAACATAGTATTTGTATACTTGTACCTCCCTTCCCTTGTAAATGCAATCCTCCTACTTGTAATTCTACATTATAATTTTTACTCAATTAACACCCAAAATTGTTTTTAGGACCCACATGAAATCTAAGACAAAATGTCTCATTGGCAAAGTTCAATGATATGTAAAGTTTCACGGAGTGGTGGGAGCAAGAGAATGAGCTAGAATTGATGAAAAGGACTTTATGGGTGCCGTAAATTTCTGCATCATCTTTTGGGTGATGGTTCCTCTTAGTGTACATATCCTACATTGCATCAAGATTGTTAAACTTAGGTGAACACTTAGGTGATTAGGTTTACTTTAGTGCTATTGTGGAAGAGCTTTTATAAAAGGTAATACACTTAACTTACTGTGGAATCTCACACTTGTTAGTCTTGACTAAATACAAAATAATGGAATTATTGGAAGACAATGTAAATGTGTATTTGTTTGTTTGGAAACTTTAAGCAGAGAGAAAAATGAAAACATTAATGTGGCATTTGAAAAATAGAATATAAACATGAATTTTATGTCAATAATTTAGCTATCAAGGACAAGAGGAAATATTTTTAGAATACTTTTGTGCAAATGATAAAATTATGTTAACATTTATATTCAAGTATGAGAAATAAAAGAGACTAGATACAAAATATAGGAAAGATATGTGAGACCTGATATCAAACAATTAAATGAGGTAGAGGAACTAAAACAGAAGGTAAACCTGAATGAATAATAAAATCGTAGGTGAACTTCAAAGAACTGAAGAGAATAAAAGTAGAAGAAATTTGACAACTGTCAGTTTGGTTACTTCTGTTATGACATAATTAAATTTTTGTGTATCTTGAGCCTTCCCAAATGATTGTGGAGCTGAATAGACTTCGGAATGTTGAACTATTGATCACAGACCCAAAAGTGATGATCCCACCCAAGGGTAGAAAGTGTCAGAAATCAAGTCATATTCTGAATGGAGTAAAGTTTCTGAGAATGTACTTTGTGAAATCTTTGTTCAAGTGATTTAGCTTCATCATCATTTTGTTATTTGATATTATCTGAACTCTGACTGAGAAAAGTCAGGTTGTCTTTTTTTTATTTTTCTGTTTTGTAATCAGCGTGTTATTTGCGTCATTTGACAAATGAGTGACTTACTAAACTGAGGATTTTTGTTTTTAGTTTTAAATTGGAAACAAACTTCTTTTTCATGTCAATCCCAGTTCCCTCTCCCTCCCCACCTCCTCTGCACCTTATGAACCCCCATCCCATGCCCTTTCTGCTCCCAAGAGAGGGTGAGGCCTTCCATGGGGTTGTTCAAAATCTGTCATATCATTTGGAGCATTTGAAATGTGTACTAATAATTGACATTGAAATGCATGATGGTAAATGATAAATGCAACATCCTACCTTGGGATTTGGGGAGATCACTAATGAAACTGTGTGTGTGTGTGTGTGTGTGTGTGTGTGTGTGTGTGTGTGTGTGTGTGTGTGTGTGTGTGTGTGCATATATATAGTGTATCTATATATTGTCTCTTTTTGGCAAAGGGGAACTGTTTGTGAAAAATTCAAGTAAAGTTATTTCAGAGCTTTGGGAGCATTGAAGAAAGATGCATTAGATTCAGGCATGGTTGCTGAGACTGACACCCCCAGCTCTTCAGAGCAGGAAGCAGAAGGAACATAAATTCAAGGTTTTCCTCAGTTACATGGAAAAGTAGAGGCCACCCTGGATAACTTGAGACTGCTTCAGGAAACAAATCAACTCACCAACCAACACAACAGGAAAGATGATGAACTGGTGTTAGTAGGCTTCTTTTGATCTTGACCAGCATTTAGCTCATGTGCCTCTAAATGCACAGTTACAAGTAGAAACTGACTAAAAGCCTATTTAGACTCTTTTATTTTGATAACATGGAGAGCTTGTCTCTTTGGCCATTTTGTTTTATGTTGTGTGTGGTTAAGAGGATTAAAAAAATAGCCATAGCAAGGGCAGAGGCACATTAAAAAAAATCAGTGTCCTTAAGAATGGGACAATGACAAATTTTTCTGATGTTTCTATAGGGAACTTATAAATCCTTTGTGTTTAAAAAGTAGATTTTAATTGTATTTGAAAGTAAAATTATTGGTTATGTTTTATTGTGGGAGTTGAGTTCTTTTTGGCACTTACAGAATTTGATTACCTGTGCCTAACACACCAATTCACACAGGCACATATGTACCAGTGGAAATCACTATAAAATGAGCTCAACAGAACTGACATTCATTAAATAGTTGGCTGAATTTGATAGTAGGCACTGCTGGTGCATTTATAAGAGTAGTTCTTAGTCATCTACTTAACTCTAGATAGTGCCAGATAACACTGGATGGAAAAGATATTTATCTTTGTTAGCTACATACTAAGAAACCTCTGTTGCTTATGTTTACTTGACCTTACTTTTACAGTTCTCAGAATCACCATGTTATATGATGTATGACAAGATAGTTCCTAATTCTTTTGCCAAGGAGACTATTTTCATTTAAAAATATCAGTGAA